ACTCCCAATGTGAAAAGTGTGCCAAAGGTAAACAAAGGTAAACAAATCAAAAGTTCCTTTAAATCCATTAACAAGGTATCCACCACTAAACCTTTGCAATTACTTCATCTTGAATTTTTAGGTCCTATGTGTGTTACCTCACTAGGAGAAAAACATTATGTTTTTGTGTTGATTGATGATCTTTCTCGTTTTACATGAGTCATATTTCTTGCAAATAAGGATGAGTGTTTTGATGATTTTTCCAGTTTTGTAATAAGGGTCAAAAATGAAAAAGGTTTTAAAATTGTCAAAATTCGTAGTGATCATGATGGTGAATTTCAAAATAAGTATTTTAGTGATTTTTGTGACCATCATGGTATTACTCATACGTTTTTCACACCAAGAACACCACAACAAAATGGTGTTGTTCAACAGAAAAATTAGACTATACAAGAGATGGCACTCACTATGATAAATGCATTTGATTTACCAAAGTATTTTTGGGTGGAAGCCGTTAACACGGTTTACCATGTTTTAAATCGTGTTTTGATTAGGCCTATTTTCAAGAAAATCCCTTATGAGCTTTATTTTGGTAAGACACCCAACATACGCTATTTTCAGATTTTTAGTTGTAAATGTTTTATTTTGAACACTAAAAATCATCATAATAAATTTGATTTAAAAATAAATGTTGTAAATGTTTGGTTATAAATGTTTTATTTAAGATATGTATTAAGGAGTAAGGCTTACAAGGTTTTCAACAAACGAATACTCGTTGTTGAAGAATCTATAAATATTACATTTGCTGAAACTAATGTCGGTTTGCAAGATTTTGTGCCTATTAGGGAAGATAATGACATTGAAGGAGGATTGGAACTATTACAAATTAATGACACCCCTTCAACGGTTGTACCAAAAACTTTAAAAGAAGAGTTTGAAAATAATCAAGAAGAACTTCTCAAAGCATGGAAGTTTACACCAGATCATCCTAAGGAGCAAATCATTGGAAGCTCCACAAAAGGCGTTATGACTCGCTCAAAAGCAATTAGCGAATATGGTAACATTGCTTTTCTATCTCAAATAGAACCAAAACATGTTGATGATGTTTTAAATGATGAGTTTTGGGTTTTAGCCATGCATGATGAATTAAACAATTTTTAAAGAAATAATGTCTGCAAACTTATTCCTAGACCAAAAGATTTTTATTTAGAACAAAATGAGGTTTTTAAAATAAACTTGATGAATTTGGCATAGTGACTAGAAATAAAGCTAGATTGGTCGCCCAATGATACAATCAAGAGGAGGGCATTAATTATGACGAAATTTTTACATCGGTTGCAAGAATGGAGTCAATACATATGTTCTTGGCATTTGCTAGCTTTAAAATTTTTTAAACTATTTCAAATGGATGTTAAAAGTGCTTTTTTAAATGGTTTTGTTGATGAAGAGGTTTATGTTGAGCAACCCCCCGGATTTATTGATCCTCTTTTTTCAAATCATGTTTATCGGATTCAAAAGGCTTTATATGGTTTGAAACAAGCTACAAGAGCTTGGTATGCTCGACTTTCTAGTTTTCTTGTCAAAAAAACAGTTTCTCAAAAGGAAAAATTGATAATACCTTGTTTGTTAGAAAAAGCAAAAGTGGCTTCATTTTAATTCAAGTTTATGTCGATGATATTATATTTGGAGCTACTAATGTATCTTTGTGCAAGTAATTTTTAAAAGTTATGCAAAAGCAATTTGAGATGAGTATGATGGGAGAGCTGACATTTTTTCCTTAGACTCCAAGTTAAATAATATGATGATGGAATTTTTGTCTCACAAAGCAAGTATGAAAGAGAGTTGGTGAAAATTTTTGGGATGACAAACTCCAAGCATGCACCAACTCCAATGAGCACCTCCATCAAGTTGAACATGAATGAAAGTGGTGAGAAAATAAATCAAAAGTTGTATACTTGTATCGATGTATGATAGGTAGTTTACTTTATCTCACCGCTAGTCAACCCGACATAATATTTAGCGTTTGTGCATGTGCACGTTTTCAAGCTTTTCCTAAAAAATCTCATTTAATTACAGTTAAACATATTATTAAATATATGGACTTAGTTTGTTTTATCGAAAGCATACTACTTCTGATCTTTATAGTTATTGTGATGTCGACTTTGCCGGATGCAAGGTGGACCGCAAGAGTACTAGTGGCACGTGTCAATTCTTAGGCAACTCTCTAGTTTCTTGGTCATCTAAGAAGTAAAATTGTATAGTCTTATCCACTACAGAAGCGGAATACATTGTTGTCGGCTTATATTGCACTCAATTATTATGGATGAAACAAAATTTGGTTTATTTCGGTTTACATTTTCATGATACGAAAATCTTTTGTGATAATACTAGTGCTATAAATATTTCAAAAAATCTAGTTCTTCATTCTAGAACCAAATATATAGATGTTCGACATTATTTTTTACGTGATCATGTAGAAAAGAAAGATGTGTCCCTTGTTTATATTGATATAAAATCTCAACTAGCGGACATCTTTACCAAGTCTCTTTGCGAAGAAACTTTTTGCCGTATAAGAGGTGAACTAGGCATGTGCATCCTTTGATTCATGATTTGCTTGGTTATTTATTTATCTTTTTCAGCAATGATGTTTTACAATCTTTTTAAATGGCTTACATAGTTACATTGATTTGCATGTTTTTCTTTCTTATGTTTTAGTTAAAAAAATTTATCTTGCGTTAACTGTCTGATCTGGCCATGATCAGTTATTTTGATTTTTTTTTGTGTACCCCATTTTGATGTTTCCAAAGGGAGAGAAAATATCATATACTTTGTGCACATAGATAGGGGGAGAATCTTATAGATAGGAGGAGCATCTATCTATAAGTAATATTTAATCTTTTAATTCTTAAATATTTGCTCCTTTATAATGGTGGTTTGTCATCATCAAAAAGGGGGAGATTGTTAAGTCTCGTGTTTTGATGATGATTTAAAAACCCCGTTATTGGTACTAATTGATTGTCAAGTGATCTTACGCAGGATGTGTTTATCAAGCAATAGAGTGTCATTAAAGGAGGATGAATGGATTTGCGTCTTAATGATGACATTCATGGAGGTGGAGGCAAGTTGATGAAGAAACCTTAAAATGCTCAAAGATCGATTCACGCAAATATCTATTTAAAAAGGGCTTTCAAGTATACATTCAAGAAGAGCTTCATCAACGACAAATCTTAGCAAATATCGATACTCAAGCATTGTATACAATTGTAAGTGATATTTGTATTTTACTTCTCTCTAGATTATAATATAGGCAAGAAATAAAGTTGATAAATTTTGAAGCATTAGGGGATTACACACACACATTTCTAAATTCGTATTTTTGACGGTTTTTGCAAAATAACGAGTTTTCACAAATGAAAAATGCTATTTTAGAAATTCCTCTTCTAAAATATTTATTTTAATATTTATAATTTTTTCTCAAGTTTTACTATTTTTGAAGTTGTTTTAATATTTTAAAATGAATTTAGAAAATAAACTTTTCAGCAAAAATTCAATTATCTGTTGTGCATGTTTTTCGGTCGACCGAATAGTCGAACCGGTTGACTGACCAGAAGTAGTTTTTATAGCTTTCCTTTTTACAGTCTATCAGTTGACTAACATATAAAATCAGTCCATCGAACACAATGTTTTCAGTCGACCGATATTTTTGACCTGTCGACCAATAGTGTTATCATTAGCATGTAAGTTTTTAGTCTACTGGTTAGTTGACTGATTCGATTGATCAGTCAATCGATCGTGATTTTCTGCACTATAACAGATAGTTTTATCTGAATCCGGATTTTTAGGGATTTTATGATTTTGGGCAGATTTTGTGAGATGGTTGAGATACTATAAATAGTCCTCATGACCCATTTGCCAAACTAACTAAGAAAAACCTTGAGATTTTGTATTTTGAGACTCCTAAGCTTAAACTTCTACTCATTCTCAAGTTTTTGGTTTTCACTTTCATATCCCACAAAATCCTTGTGCTTCAACTGTTCATCTCTTCATCCTTGCCATAGGATTGTTGTAAGAGAGACCATTTTACTTCATCTTGTATTGTGTGGCATTGTGTGGAGAGTTCGATCTCGAGGAGATCATTGTGTGGAGAGTTCGATCTCGAGGAGATCATTGCGTAGAATTTTCGGCTTTCAAACCGGGTAGTGTAGTGGATTACCATCGAGAAAGGTGGTCGGGGACGTAGGTCGAGAGTGGTCAAACCTCCTGAACATATCGTCATCTTCATTGGCTAATTATCTCTCACTCTCTCTTTTAATTATTACCTTATTATTATATTTTGTGTCTTAAATTGCATTGTGTTTTCATTAGTTGCACATTATTGTTTGATTACCCTATTCACCCCCTCCCCCTAGGGTAATTTTAGTCCTGTCAGTTGGCCCACGTTCAATTTGCTAGAGCTTCACTGTTTTTAAACTTTAATTAGAAAATTATTTTCATTTTAAGTCTTTAAACCTTTCATATTTTGAAATTAAATTCCTCAAATCATGAAAATTGTTATTAAGTCCTATAATTCTTAAATTAATTAGAAATTGATCTCTCAAATTATTAACATTAATATTGGACTCTTAATTCTTAAAAATTTAAAAGATATTAATTTAAAAAGGATTGCGAGAATTAGAGGATCTAACAATATTGCTATTAACTTGCTGGACTAATTTCAAAATAATTTTGGATTACGAGAACACAATAGCAATTTCAAAGGTTTCGAAGCCTACCTAATTAAATAATAATAATTTTTTATTTTAAGTAACTGACTCAAAGTTTATCCCTATTTTATCCTAAAAATCATGTACTTCAGTTTTTTTTTCTTCCAATATTAATGCTTTACAGCTCTAATATTTTAAAACAAATCTATTACCCCTTTAAATGAGCGAGTTACTAAAAAAATTTTCCCTCCCCAAATTAACCTTTAACCGAAATATTTATACCAATCTTATCCCTTACAACATCCGCAAAAATCAAAATCCCTAAATATTCCTTAGGTTCCTCCTCTCCGCCTTCTCCTCAGCCCATTCGATCTTCCGTTAAAACTTTTTAAGATGAAATCAATTAATCAGTTCATCCGTTACCCTAAATCTTCCTTAGGTTCCGCCTTCTCTCCGCCTTCTCTCCGCCTTCTTTCAGTTCTTACGTTACGACGTCCAACGATCTTAAGCCATAAATTTCCAAAGATGATTGTTACTGCCCTAATCATAATCTCTGCGCATCCGCCATCATCTCCTCAGTTGTCTGAATTTTGGCATCGGTAAGAATGATTTTTCTTTTTTGCTCTTCATTTAATTTAATTTTGTTCTAATTAGCAATCATCTCCTCAGTTGTCTGAATTTTGGCATCGGTAAGAATGATTTTTCTTTTTTGCTCTTCATTTAATTTAATTTTGTTCTAATTAGCAATCATCTCCTTCTGTTCTAATTCAACAATAGGTCAAGGATTGTCCGAATCAGGGCTTGCTTCAATTCTTCATATTGCTCCTTTGTCAGTTTCATCAGGTAAGCCATGTATTGTATATGAAATAGTGATGACATAGTTTAGAATCTACCCTAAATGTTTCAGTACTCTGTTCATGTTCAAGCATTAATACCTATAAGTATGGTTTTATATGCTATATGATTGATCATCTTATTAAAAATTGCGACTGGGAGTTTGAATGCCATGTAATATTCTTTCTGGCAATTGAAAAACAGTCATCACATAAATAAATTCATATCAGGGAAAAAAAATTGATCAGGTAAAAGTTAGAATGAATATTGTTGACTAGATTTATTGCCTTTTCTAATTTCACAATCGCTTATGACAATATTCTGCGTGTTGGCTATATGAATTCCATCTGTATTTGGACTCTTATCTGGTGCATTTATTGATAGAGTTGAGACACCTACATCTCTACACTTCTCAATGGACACATGAATTTGTTGGCTATCTTTTACAGAACATGAGGATCCAATATACTACAAAACAAGCATGGTTGGTTGGGGTATTTGTGCTGGGTGAAGCAAGTCAGTGTTAAGAAGTCCATTCATATTAAGCGGTAATTCTGTGAGAATATACAATGTATCAAAGGTCATCTAGAAAGTGTATTTGCTGTTGAAAGGCCATTTAGCTGACCCTAAACATTTGTGATTAAAGCTTTGTTGTTGTTGTTGAAAGGCCATTTAGAAAATGTATTTGTTTTGTGCTCTGAACTGTATAACAGAGTTTTGAGAGGGGTTTGAATTCATATCTACAATTTATTAGCTAATTGTGTCCTGTTTTTTGAGGTTCTTTACATAACTTTGATCAATAATATCCATTTACCCTCCCTTATCTTCCTTGACCTAGGTGTTTTAGTCTTTTAGAGCCGGAACCAGACATCAATAGAAAAAGCAGCACTAAACCTCGATTGTAGCAAGTCACTGTTAACACCAACATCAAATGATTGTTAGAACCTAGAAGAATTAATTATTTAGCAACAGGGAAGCACAACTTAAGACCTTTCACATCTTTTATTTTAACCGACGTAGGAATGTCTGAGAAACAGAAAGGTTTGAGTAATGAAATGATAGACTATTTTAACCGACGTAGGAATGTCTGAGAAACAGAAAGGTTTGAGTAATGAAATGATAGACTATTTTCATTATTTCATAAACGTACTGCTCAAGGTTTTCCACTTCATTCCCTTTACATAGACAGTATAAGGTGATGTGCTATAAACGTACTGCTCAAGGTTTTCCACTTCATTCCCTTTACATAGACAGTATAAGGTGATGTGCTGAATCTTTTTTTTTTTTACTTTTTAGATGTATGATTCCATTTTGCGAGTTGTTTTACCTATTTGTAATAGCAATGGTTTATGGCCAATTTTTTATAGTCATTCCACTATAAAGTGTTTGTTCAAGCCGTTAACTGAGAACAATGATTCTTCTGTGTTAGCTGATTAAGCAGCTGTAGATGATAGGCTCATCTATAGACAACTACTTGAGCTAGCGCTTTTCAAAACATTGAGCAATTGCATAAGTATCAAGCACATGTGAGTATATTGTAATAATAAATAAAGGTTTTCCACAGATGCTACCAACTAAATATACACAATTAATAGGAAACATAGCAGAATGAATAGTACATAACAATTTCTTACTTTGTTGAAGAGAAAACACCATCTAGGGCTTTCTTATCTCAGAGATTAATCTGCAGAAGCATGCATGTATGTTAGGAATCAAGTCCATCCAAATATCTCAAACACTTATACCAAAATATAAGAAAACATATAAAAGAAATCTAAAAAACGCATTGATCAGTGAATTTCATAGTAAAAGATACTACATAAATGGTAACTAAAATCATTTTTTTCCAAGAGTTCTATTCTAAACCATGTTACATATAAACGACAACAAACATGCAATAAGAACATACATAATCATGCAGGCTCCAGGTCTACATTAAAACAATAGAGAAATTTAAAAGATAAATAGCAGCATAAAAGAACGTTAACTGCCAGTGGCATAAGACACCAAAAAAACAAAGGCTACAAGAACATTTTTAACCCATGAGTACTTGCTTTAGAATTACCAGAATCATTAAGTACTTGATAGCATGACAAGAGTGGCATTCAAACCATGTAAAACATCAGATCAAATATACATGAGTAACATATGAAACAGGAATGAGTAAAGGTCCACTGAAAATGTAATTGACTGAAAAGTGTAACAAGGAAAGGAAGCATAAAGCTTCATAGATGGAGGGCAAGAAGCTTTTACTACCTTTAGAACAAACAAGTAAATTAACTCATCTTTAAATTTTTGTTATCATACCATGGGATGTTCATAATAAGCAACCCTTCAGAGTAAGCTTGAAAAAGTTTCTTGCAGAGCAACTTTACAGGGAAAACTGGGACACCTAATGTAAACCTAGACCACTCCAAGCTATTTGTGTAATACCAGATATCAGGTAATAAAAATAAAAAATCCTTTATTGCTTAAAAAATTGATCTCTCTTGAATTTGTCCTGTTCCTACACATCGATATTGACCACTATGGCTTAATTGTCTATTGCACACGGCCTATTAATTAACAAGTGAATCAAACCACCTCTCAAATAGATGCTGACTTGCTGGTCACAATTCCTTTAAATACTGTATATGTGGATCATATTGGTTGGAATTATTTTTTATTATTTTTTCCTAACTTCAATGTTAGCTTTCTCCTAAAATCATGTCTTTTTTTCATGAAATCACTTTACAAGCCACATCAGCATATGAAATCACTTTACACTATTTTCACAACTACAAACAAACAATTGAAAGTGATGAAAGCTGACATTGGGACCCACTTTTTTACACTTTACCTCCTTTTACATGGTAAAAACATACAACCAAGCAGCCCCTAAGGATCATCAACCAATATACTCCATTTTCTAAAGAAATAAATGGGATCAAATCGATTATGTATACAGGATTATCTCCAAAAATAGATGTTCCCCCTTCAGGGACATTGTACCTCTTCTGTATACTACTTTTTCCCTGTAAATAGTTAGGTGTTTCACTTTAGCTATTGATTATCTTAGTTTCAACCTATACTCCTAATTATAAAACCTCAAACGCGTGCCAAAAGGAAAATATATAGCACATAATCTATCATACAGTTAAATATTTGTATACTTAATAGCTTGGTGATCACGATTGTATTCTATCATTCAAAGAGCAATTGAAAAATGTGAAGATTGCATTCACCCAGTCAAATCTTTGTCCATAAACATTAATTTTTTTTCCTTATATATTTTGGCAAAACAAATGCATCCATATGTCTATCTTGACTAAATAGATCACATCTGGTTTTGCCTTATGTTGTAGTTCTTACCTGCTTTATGTACAACAGACTAGCGAAGGAGGTCGTTAAAGGCCTTAAAAAGCTTATTGGACACAGGAATCCAAAGGTTCAACTTCTTGCGTTAACAGTAAGTCAACAAGCTTCTAGATGATATCTGTGCCTTTGTAAACATTTATTTCTATTCTTATTCTTGTGTTTATTTGTCAATTATTATTCTTGTGTTTCTTAATTGTATTTGGAATGGATGTTGTTGATATGTTTTAATTTGTTGGAAAATACATTCATAATGTCGGTAAGCAGTTTAATTTTGCAACTTGGATCTCGTAGTTCCTCCAATGCATTCACCTTTAATATCTTGTTATGTAGGATTAGTATATCACTACTTGGATCTCGTAGTTCCTCCAATGCATTCACCTTTAATATCTTGTTATGTAGGATTAGTATATCACTTTGTATTTGGAAACAAGCAATGCTTTGATCTAATTATCTAATAAACCTACCCCTGATTAGTATATCACTTTGTATTTGGAAACAAGCAATGCTTTGATCTAATTATCTAATAAACCTACCCCTGGGCATGTTCTTGTTGTCATCTTATATTCTAAAGGTCAATGCGGCATAGTCGCATAAGATTATACCTGAGGATTGGTGGTAGAGTCCTATGCGGTATAGTGTTGCATTAACACCTACAGTCGCTTCATCTAGGTCACTGTATATGTGTCCTACACTTTGCGTATCTGTGTCCATGTCGGGCACTCCTTGGACACTTTTTGAATACATATAAACATTTATATAGATGTGTACCCAATATATAACACATATTTTAGTAAAAAAGAACTCGTGATACACTTCTGGAACGTATTATCGTACACTTACCTCAATATTATGCAACTCGTTAGACTCACACTTCTTGAATACATATAAACATTTATTTAGATGTTTACCCAATATATAACACATATTTCATTTAAAAATAAACTCGTGATGCACTTCTTGAACATTTATTTACATGTGTTCAGAGATAGCTGCTTTTTAAATTAAAATTTTTAATGTATTTTTTAATTTTTTAAATTAAAATTTTTTTAAACTTGAGAAAACTTATTCCTTGAGTAATTATGTATGTTGTGAAAACCTGTTGTGCAATTCTCTCATAAATAATTCAACATTTTTTGTAATTATGTATGTTGTCTCTGAATAATTATGTATGTTTTGTCTTTGAGTAATTATATATGTTTTGTAATACACTATTACGTCTAGATTAAATAATTTAACATTTTTTTATATTAATGCAGATATTCTACTTGGTTGGATTTGCCTTTTTTTTAACATTTCTAAAGTTGTTGGTGATTCAGGTTAGTTAAGCAACTTTCTTCTCTTTTCTCTTTATTTTGGTCATAATGATGATAACTCTATTTCCTTGTATTTATCTTCTTCTACACTTAAAAATTTATTATTATTACTATTATTATTATTATTATTATTATTATATGACTTAAAAAAACAGAATTAACCTTAGCATATGAGATATTTGTGATTACTGATGCATGTATAGTTTACCAAATTTCAAAAAAAAAACCTAAAGTACTATTGAACATCAAATAAAATATACTTATTCTCTCAAATTATATTCACTGCTATACTTATGTTTAATAAAATCAATAATTTAACACAATAAATTTTTTTCCTTGTAGAAATATACATTCTACTTCTTGGATTGCATAATCACTATACATTTGCACAAGAGTGCCTTCTTCCAAATGACTTCAAACCAAGGTTTGAATTCAACATAAATATATATAATTATTGCTTTATGTGTATTTGTGTTTATTAATAGTATATTTTATTATTTTTTAACAGAAGACCACATTCTAATACATGAGAGTAGAAACACCAAATATAATCAGTTGAATGTTGATCAGAAGAGAACTTACATTCAGAAGGTCATTGATAGTGATATAAAGAGGAAAAGAAATGATTTTGCTGGCAGTAGTACCAATAGCAAGGGAAAATGTAAGAATGGTTTGTTTTGTGGAGCGCAACAGCGAGAATATGAGCATGGAGGTTTGCATCGATTAATTTTATAATTTATTAAAATATTTACATGATTTTATATATCTAAATTTATTTAACACTAAAAACTATTATTTTTTTCTAGGTCAATTACACATGAACCGGTATGTTCTTTATTACATAAACTACGGACTCCAAAGTCTTGTTTATTTTGTGGAGCAAAAAAGTTTGAACATGAGCCACCAACATCATGTTGTCACAATGGTGAAATCCACCTAGCAGATGTGAATTTTAATGACGAGTTATATGCCCTTTATACAGTACAAACCCAAGAGGCAATTGAGTTTCGAAGACAAACCAGAAAGTATAATAGCATTTTCTCATTCACATCATTTGGGGCAAGGTTTGATAGAGAACTTGCATCAAACAGAAAGGGTATTTTCACATTTAGAGCACAAGGACAAATATATCATAATCTCCCCTCTCTTATTCCAGAAGAAAACAAGCCTTCCTACTTTCAACTTTACTTCTACGATACGGAGAATGAGTTGCAAAATCGAATGGGAATATTAGATAATGCAAACATGAGTACAACTACAACTAAAAGACTGATGGATATATTAGAAGGAAACCCATATGCAAGATTTCTGTGGAAACTAAATGATTTTCCATCTCTTGAAGACTTCAAGATCATTATAAATAGAGATGCTGCAGTAGATCAACGTGTTTACAACTTGCCAATAGTGGATCAGGTTGCAGCTATCTGGATAGAGGGAAATAATTATAATGTTCCGTATGAGAGAGAAATAGTTGTCCATTCACACTCCGACAAGAATCATCAAGTTAAGCACTATTTTGGATGTTATGATCCTTTACAGTATCATTTACTCTTTCCAGGCGGAGATGTTGGATGGCACCAAAATATTAAAAGAAGGGATAAAAATGATATTTGCCGGTCAAAACAAGTAAATACAACATCTCAAGTAACTCAGCAAACTTTTACATCTGCAGAAGACATATTTAAACGAGAAAGGGAAGGTAAATCATAATTTAAATTTTTTAATAATATTAAAATATTAAGAAATAACTTAACCTGCAAACTTGTAGGTGTTAAAGCACCAAAGGCGGGAAGCGTCTCATGTCGAGAATATTATTGTTACAAGCTCCAGATAAGAGACACTCGACAATCTATTGTATTAACATCGGCAGGCCGGTTGTTCCATCAATATGCTGTTGATATGTACATAAAGCTTGAAACAACAAGACTTGATTATTTTAGAAAGAAACAATCAGAAATCAGAGCAGAGTTATTCCAAGGCATAGTTGATAGTGTAGCTGCTGGAGAAGCAAAAGCAAGTCAAGTCGGAAAAAGAATAGTGCTGCCATCATCATTTATTGGTGGTCCTAGAGATATGCGTCGTAGATATCTTGATGCAATGTCATTAGTACAACGATTTGGAAAACCAGATATTTTCATCACAATGACATGCAATCCTGAATGGGAAGAAATCACGGAGGAGCTACATTCAGGACAGACACATAATGATAGACCGGATCTAACCTCAAGGATATTTAGAGGAAAATTGCAAGACCTGAAAGATCAGCTATTTAAAAAGGAATCTTTGGAAAAGTTGCTACCCATGTTCATGTCATTGAGTTTCAAAAAAGAGGGTTGCCTCATGCACACATGTTAATTATTCTAATGGGAAAACACAAGATCACCTCATCAGATCATTATGATAAGTACGTATCAGCAGAAATTCCAAACCAGTATGAAAATCCAATCCTATATGAACTGGTAAAAAAACATATGATGCATGGCCCTTGTGGAGAGTTAAATATGAAGAATGTTTGCATGCAAAATGGCGAGTGTAAATATCACTACCCTAGAGAGTTTTCTCCGAGATCACTACAAGCGAAAGATGCTTACCCAGTTTATAAAAGGAGCAAAAATAACAGAACAATGTTGGTTTGAAACCAAATCCTTAATAATCAATGGGTGGTACCTTATAATCCTTATTTGCTGACACGTTATAACTGTCACATCAATGTTGAAATATGCTCAGGCATAAAAGCAGTTAAATACCTTTATAAGTACATATATAAAGGCCATGATAGAGTGGCAGTAAACATTGAGTGCAATGAAGGTGAAAAAGTTATGAATGAAATCAAGAATTTTCAAGATGCAAGATGGGTATCAGCTCAGGAAGCTTTCTGGAGAATATATGAATTCCATCTTAATGAGATATTCCCGGCTGTCATTAACTTACAACTTCACATGCCAAATCATCAATATGTTTCATATTGGAAACATCAAGACCTATCGAAATTTATTCACTTGGAACATGTCTCAAAGACGATGCTTACAGAATTTTTTACTATGTGTAAAAAAATTAAAGAAGGTAACAAGAAGAAACATGAAAAGGACCATGAAAAGGAGTTATTATATGTGGAATTTCCTGAATGTTATGTTTGGGATTCAACATCAAAATCTTGGCGTCCAAGAAAACAGAGACAAGTGATAGGTCGAATAAATGGGGCTAATCCAATTGAAGGAGAGAGATATTACTTGTGACTATTGCTTACTCACGTTAAGTGTCCGAAATCATTTGAAGATCTACTGACAGTAAATGGTATTCAATGCAAATCTTTCAAGCAATCAGCTCAGAAATTAGGTCTTTTGGAATCTGATGATAGCATAAGAGAGTGCTAAATCTTTCAAGCAATCAGCTCAGAAATTAGGTCTTTTGGAATCTGATGATAGCATAAGAGAGTGCTTAGATGAAGCCATCGTCTTCCAAATGCCAACAGCACTTCGACGTTTGTTTGCAACTATATTGGTTCATTGTGAGCCTACAGATGTTAATCATTTGTGGGATAAATATATTGAATCATTATCTGAAGACTTCTCAAGGAAACCAAATGCTACTAGAGCTTCGGTGATAAATGATACTCTTCTCAATATTAACTTCTACTTAGAGAGTATGGGAAAGGATATTAAAAAATTTGATTTGCCACCTTTACAAGCAAAAAACATTACAGAGGAAGGTTCATACCCAAGAGAAATAAAAGAAGAGCTAGATGTACAAATCTCAACTGATGATCTAAATGCTGCAACAAAACTCAACTATGAACAACATACTGCATACACTATAATATTATCACGAGTTGAAGGAAATAAAAGTGGAGTTTTCTTTATTGACGGTCCAGGAGGAACTGGGAAGACATATTTATATCGCGCTCTACTTGCCAAAGTAAGATCACAAGGTATGATAGCTCTTGCTACAGCGACATCAGGTGTCGCAGCTGTAATAATGCCTGATGGAAGAACAGCACACTCGAGATTTAAAATCAAAATCCCAACAACAGATTCATCTATGTGCGGTATATCAAAGCAAGATGGGACATCAAAACTCCTTAAAATAGCTCGTCTAATAATTTGGGACGAGGCTGCTATGGCTAAACGCGTTGCAATTGAAACGTTGGATAGAACACTAAGAGATTTAATGGATAAAGATGAACCATTTGGCGGAAAAGTTATTGTATTTGGTGGTGATTTCAGACAAGTTTTACCAGTGGTGCCTCGCTCAACAAGATCACAAACTATCAAAGAAAGTTTAGTAAGCTCACATTTATGGAGAAAAATGATCAAACTACATCTTTCAAAAAATATGAGAGAAAAATCAGACACATCATTCAGTGAATTTCTTCTTAGGATTGGGAATGGAGATGAACCAACAGTATCACAGGATCTCATAAAACTGCCTACTGCAATGTTGATCCAGAATCAAGGTGATGAGCTACCAGAAGATTCTCTCATAAATTCAAATTTTCCATCTTTAGATGAAAATTTCAAGTCTATTGACTATATGAAAGATAGAGCTATCCTTGCAACAAAAAATGAATATGTTGACATGTTAAATGATAGACTAATAAAAATGTTTCCAGGAGAATGAAAAGAATTCTATAGCTTTGATGAAGCAGTTGATGACACTAATCATCATTACCAAGAAGAATTTTTGAACACTCTGCTCCCTAATGGACTACCGCCACACAAGCTACTGTTAAAAAAATATTGTCCAATTATTTTACTAAGGAACTTGGATCCAACTAATGGACTGTGCAACGGTACAAGAATGGTATGTCAAGATTTTAACTACAATGTAATTCAAGCTAAAATCACAATGGGACAACATGTTGGGAAAGAAGTTTTCTTGCCAAGAATACCATTGTCACCAGCAGAAGATGAAGGATTACCATTCAAGTTCAAGCGCAAACAATTTCCCATAAGATTATGTTTTGCAATGACAATTAATAAATCCCAAGGGCAAACAATACCTAACGTAGGTATTTATCTACCTGAACCAGTGTTCTCTCATGGACAACTATATGTTGCTTTATCGCGGGGTACTTCTATGATGACAACCAAGGTCTTAATAACATCAGATGGAAAATTTGCAGAAGAGGAACAATACACAAAAAATGTTGTATACAAGGAAGTTCTCCAGCCAAACGACCACGAGGAATAATTCAAATGACCAATAACATTTTTGAAGGTTAGGAATTTATTATAATATAAGTAGATGCAATTTTTATTAAAGTTTTTTCTTAAAATTATTTAAAAAGTTACAATTCATTATTATATCATTCAATCTGTTCATTCAAAATCATGTACTAAATAAAATTAACATAACTTTAAACATTGTAAATAAAATTATTAATTAATAAATTCAAATTACTATAATTAGTGTCACATCTTTGATATAGAAATAGTCTCATTTAATTTTCTTTTGAGTTTATTTAGTACTTCATATGCTTTGTTATTTACATATAACAAACTATTCAAAATCTTGCAGGAACGATGGCATCCACTAACGAAGCACCAATTCCACACATCCAAATACGCCAACTAAAAAAAATTCAAAGAGAGTGGACTATTCTTGTTGTTATCCTAAGAACTATCGAGTCATCTTATGAGAACAACAAAGGATCAGGAAAACTACTAAAATTAATTTTTGCCGACTCAGAGGTAATGTGGCAAAATTCTACATGCTATAATTTTATTGATATTTGTTGATACTTATTCTTAAATAAAGTAATACATACAATTTTTAAGTACAATATGCATAAATTTTTATCATGCCATAGCAATCGTTATTTTAAATCTATGCAAAGCCTTCTCAATTTTTTATAAATTTATTATGAATATAAATTATAAATATTAATTAAATTACTGTTGATGCTTATTCTTATATTAATTATTATCACCTTACTATGTATAAAATCATATAAAAAAATTCCTGCATTTATTAAATAGGTAAGCAAAATGTAATTCATTTTTTACAAAGAGCTAATCCGTAAAAACGATTAAATTTGTTACTTGAGATCAAATGACTTATTAGTAAGTAGTAGAAATTCTAATTCAATAACAGGTAACTTTATATAAATAATGTTAGTTTTGTTGATGAGTTAAAATGTAATTTTTGTTTTACCCAAATATTATGGATACATTTCAATCAAACCTAGAGTATGTTTATTTAAAAGTTTCCCACATAGGTATGGTTATTGATATTTGTTGATATTTGTGAGATAATATTACTAATATTTGCAGGGCAAAAAAATACAAGGTATTATGTTTGGAGAAACTATTGAAATGTATAAGCACATGCTTCAGAAGAATAATGTTCTTTACATCTCAAATGGAGAAGTCAAACCAATAAACCCGCTTTATGGAAATGTACATGAGTCAATTAAGTTGACATTGACTAAAAACATTTCTATCAAAGAGTCAAAAGTAGAATTTCAATTTGATAAGATATTGAATAACTTTATCTCAATCAAAGACGCAATTTCCAACGAGGATACAAGGAATATAAGTAAGTATTTATAAACACCTTTGATTTTTAATTTATAAATTTATAAAAGAATTTTCAACTTATTATAAATTTATGTGCAGATGTTCTTGCAATAAATTTATAAAAGAATTTTCAACTTATTATAAATTTATGTGCAGATGTTCTTGCAATGATAGCAAATGTAAAGCCTATGATCAAGTACGTTACAAGATATAATAAGGCAGACACAAGGCGGGACATCATTATAGTAGACAAAGAGTATACACGCATGCTTTTATTTCACAATAAATTATTTATTCAAATTATAATATATTAACCTAAAATTGTCTAACTTCTCTTATACAGTGATATAACATTGTCTGTAACTTTATTCAGAGATTTAGCTGTCAATGAAGGCTCAATGATTGAAGGAAATAAGCATGAGACAACTATAATCGCGCTATCAGAGTTTAAAATATCATTGTACAAAGGTATCATTTTTTAAATTGAATTGTAAATTAATTATCAAAAAATATCCAATTCTAATTATAACTATTATATATGCAGGGGAGTTGTGCTTGACTTCGCAAATTGCATCAACAATATTGATCAACCCTGATATACAACTTGCTAAGGACATGCGAGAATGGTAATTCAAATAAAAAAGGTAACTTAATAAATTAAAATTTAAATATTTTTAAAATTATATACAGGGCTCTTTCAAAAGAGAAGATCAAGACAAATGGTGCTCCGTCAAGGCTATTTAAAAATGCAACGAAAATGAATATTGGTGACATTATGCAAGCTTCACAAGAATCATCCAAGGTATTATATTAAAATTCCTACTATAAAATAGTAATGAATCAAGAGCTTAAGTTTTAAAAAAATTAATATAAATAGATATTGTTTCATTGATGTTTCAAATACATTTACAATTATTACTTTTATGCAAGCTTCACAAGAATCATCAAAGGTATGATATTAAAATTCCTACTATAAAATAGTAATGAATCAAGAGCTTAAGTTTTAAAAAAAATAATATAAATAGATATTGTTTCATTGATGTTTCAAATACATTTACAATTATTACTTTTGCATTAATTTTTAAAAAATACATTTTTTACTATATTTTTTTTCAATTATTTTAGAATTTATAATTTTTTAACTAAATATATGTAAACTAAAATTATAACTAACTAAATTTTTACAAATCTACAGGCACAATATGGCAGCTTTATTGGAAAAATAAGTAATATCTTAAATAGACATGAGGCTTGGTACTACTCATGCACAGGCTGCAATAAAAAAGTTGACAAAAATATTTATGACAAATGTCAAAATTGTCAAAAAAATAATGAAGATAGTATACCGAGGTAAAGTACTATCAATTAATCATGAAATATAAATATAAAGATTAAATATATAAATATCATCTTATGCACAATTATAATACAAAATGTAGATATGTCGTCAAAATCATAGTGGAAGACGAAACAGACAATGCAAGAGTCACACTTTTTGACGCAGCAGAGACATTGATAGGATGCGATGCTCAAAAATTCATGGATGATATAAAAGAGGTAAATTCTTACTTTATTATATTTTATATACATATAAAACAATATATTTCATGTATAAGATCTTAATTTTTTCCTCATTAAAACAGAAAAAAATCAGAGTTCATTCTTTCAAAAGTTAGTTCTCAACATCGGAAAGACATACAAGTTCCTTGTAAAGTTAGATGAGAAGTCAAAGGATGAACATGCACAAAGCAAGATAATAGCACAAGAAATCCAAATCTAAGAGGACATCACAATCAACATTGATGATGATGATTCATTTCTCGATTTACCAAAAAAGAAGATCAAGGTGGAGATTGATCAAAGGCCAACAAAAATTAAACATTAATGTTTTTTAATTTTAATTACATTTACAAATTGGTTAAAGGATTTTAAATGTGCTTTTCATAGGCTTTTAAGTTTATTAATTGATGAATTTAATTTGTTAGGACAATTTATGATTTATACGCATATGCTCATATAGTTGTTTGATAACTATTTCATGCTTTGATTGTTATTGCAGTTATTAACTTAAATTTAACATTTAATTATGTGAATCAAAATGCATATTCATAGAATAGTTCACTTTATTAATTTAAATTTTCATGTCAACTATTTTTAACTTATCTATACTGCACAAAAAATATTGTCGATGAGTCGTTCGGAAGAAAAATGATGACCAAGCACAGCTTCCTGAACCTGTTAAGAGGAAACAATAGCTTTCTTTAGAGAAGGTAGCTAATTTTACAAAATTGTTATTCTAATTTATTCCTTTAAGTAGTCAAAATTTATTTGTATCTATTTTATTACATGTCCAGGTTCTCAGTGTTTTTTAAAAGAATAATCAATGAAAATTGCCTACTACTAGGTTTCATACCAAAAATTTATCGTCTGGATTGGATGATATTACAAATTTAATCATGGAAGGTAAATATCAAAATGAAGTTCAAAAATTTGTAAATCTAATAATATATCATCTTAAATAGATAAAAGGTTAATTAATAAAATCAATATATCTGCAGTTAACTCATCTAACCAGTGTCCTGAGCAAATAAAATTCAGAGAATAGCGGCATTCTATACCTCTATCTTCAGAGCCTTCAGCACAATACAGATATCAAGTCCTTGATCAGGCACATCCTCTTTATGGCAATCAATAAAGTAGTGTCACGCCCCGCTTCCCAAAATACCGGGGAATCGGGACGCGAGCAAGCCCGCGACGTATTAGATTGAGAAGAAATGTACACTATCATTTTTTTCTTTTTCTTTTTTTCTTTTCTTCTCAACCTAATACGCTAAGCGTCTGAAAACAATATAATATACGAAGTCACAGGTCCCCGATCACACATAACAAGAGTATAATGAACAACTCAGAATGGAAAAGATACATATCACAAATAGAATATCATCCAGGACACAGAGTTGGGTCAAACACGCCCTTATTACAAAACGGTCCAACTAAAAATATAAAAATACATAGTCCAATAGAAATAAAAGGAAAGTACTGCTAAAACAACTAAATCCAACATCAGACTAAAGTAAGGTTCTGCAAAAGAGATCTAGCGCTCATCAACTACTACAGAAATAAAAGTCTAAGCTTCAGGTTATTCTTCTGATCCATCTGGAAGATCTTACTGCTGCAAATCATCTGGCTCCTGTACTATCCCGAACTGAGGCTGCTCATCTCCTAAATCTGACGTACACCAGAGAAAAACAGGTGTACGTCAGCGTGTGCAACACACGGTAAGATCCCACAGAGAGAAATAGGAACGATCGAACGACCAAAGCAAAAACAGGTAATAATAGTAGAAGAAACATGCTACTAGAATACTAATAATCTAAATGCAATCTACCACTAGAATATAATAATCAGGAGTATCCAAGAAAGTCAACCAAGTAACAAGTCGATCATACAGCCAACGATCAGAATAATCATCCAAGTAACACGGTCATACACTAGATGAAATTAATACTTAAAAATCTACAACTCGAGACGTAGTACGTCGAGCGAAATAATCCAAACAAGGAAACCCTCATGTATATACCATATGTCTCAAATTGTAGATAATTAAATATTAATCTCGATCTATGTATAAGAGAAATACAACAGGCCTACATCTCACCAGAATCCATAATCACCTCAAGTAATAAGGTCATGTAACTAGCCATTCTATAACAGGTCACTGGTACAAATCTCACACAGAGTCAACGTTCATATCATCTTATAACTGATTGTTCGCACATCATCCAAGCAAATAAATCCATGAACCAAAGTAGCGACACCGATCTATTTTGACTCAACAAACCAACCCCAGTGGCGACACCGATCCACTGGTACGAGCCTGGAAGATATATCAACAACCATATCCAATCACATGAACAAAGACTTTCCCACCCCAACTCTTCTTGCTTTTCTAAGTCAACACAACACATGTCTCTAGGTCACACAAGGCCACTATGGTCATGACTGCTAATGGTTCTCAATCGCAGCAAGGCAATAGTAATGTAACAATTCATGTGCAATAATATCATGACATATCATGTAATAATGATTTGTGTAACAATTCATGTGCAATAATATCATGACATATCATGTAATAATGATTTGTTATAGTATATATATATAGGTATATATGAAAATTCATGTAATAATGATTTGTTATAGTATATATATATAGGTATATATGAAAATAGTAATATTATAATGCACTAGAGTGAAGAAGAAATCTTTCAGTTAAGTCCGACGATAGATAGATCGATGCAGAATAAAGAAACAACTACTAACTGTCGAAAAGGAAGTATACACGCTAAACGAGGAAGCGATCCAACCAAAGGAAATATAGAAAATAATCATAAGTATAATGACGACATAACAAAGAATCCTATGACGTCAACGGGAAGAATTTCAAGATCTAGTTCCATTGTAGATAGGTCGGCACAGGAAACGAGATCGACTTCGGATTCAATTTCGAATAATTGAGCAATAGAATGAATGAAAGAGTCCAAACAAATCATCCTAGGTGCAGAAGGGCTCAAGTTGGGGTTGTCAATAAATCAGGACGTTAATGTCCCCTCCCTAATTTAGTGAAAACGGCGAAATCGCCTACAAGAATAAAGTCGGTTCATCTCCACAATTTGGAGGAAATCAAGGCGTATAGCCGACACAGAAATGAAACCAAATACATAGGCACGAAGGCCATCCACCGCAATGATACACAACCATAAATGAGTCAACGAATACAATACAAGGCCATCAATAATATACACGGCCGGCAATTAATTATAAAAGGCTGCAATCAATAATACGTTTCCCGACAGCGAATTGCAAGCAAACCTGTAGGGAATTCTAGGCTAATGCATTTCAAGCATAAGTATAAGGAAGCACGATAAAGATGTGATATCAGACAATAACACGAATCAAATGAGTAATCACATGAAATATAATTATGAGTCTTAATATGACATGGACATGACTGTATGGGATAACTATGAATCGGACGTGCATGTATAGTATAATAAATTCTTTTAAAATATCTATTATTATAATAACTCAAAATAAACCATTTAATTTTAAACTAACCTTTTAAAAATAATTAGCTTATTAATTCCAAAATAATTCTTTACAAAATAATTTCCTTTAAGTTATTCTAATCATAAAATCATTAATCTATTTATTTAAAAGTCCTTTTACAAAATAGTTTCTTAAAATATTTTCTCATTATAATTAATTCTAAAAAAAATCTTTAAATGTTTATTTTTAATATTATACTCCTAAAAATAATTTCTTTTAAAAATATTTCTCACAATAATTATTCTAAAAATATTCTTTAAAAATATTCTTTTCTTTTTCAAAACCACACCTCATAATTAATATTGTTCATCAAACAATCACACGCAGATATATCACAACGTACAACATAATCATAATACAGTCTAAACATGCATATAATTAATTCGTAGATCTAAAATTAAACTAACAAATCAAGAGAAGTAGGATCTTGCCTACGAGGCCAAGGGGCCTGATGACGAGGCGACGATGCCTCTGTGGATGCGGTACAACGGGTCTGAAACTGTGGGGGGTTGTCGGAGCTCGTGGATGGCTG